GTAAGATTTGCTATATTAGCATACTTTGCACCATATATTAAGCCATAAATGGATCATCCTGTTATGCTTTAGGGTCCCCATCCTGAAATTCCTCAGTCAAGAGAATCTCTCCTCAAGACTAGAAATAGAAGCAGTTCCCTTGCATTCTCCCACAGCCCCTTGTCCTCCTCTCTTTCATTTAAGAATAGTGTTTGGGAGGTGTGGGAGCTTTATGTGCATAACAACTGCAGACACAAACTTATGCCAAGTTATCGGAGTCCTTTCAAACTTCTGAATTAATATATGGATGATTAAACAAAATGTTTGCCTCTCTGTCTTGTATCTGTGGGGTTTTTTTTCAGGCTTTTTTGGGCAAGAAATTGAAACCCCCAGTGTTAGCTGGTCAGGCCTCTTCAGTGTATTAAGATCAAGGAGCTGTACAAAGTTTCCTAGCAAATAAATATAACCCATTAGTTCAAAAATATTGAGGAACAGTTAACATATTCTAGTTTCAAGAAACCACTGCTGTTATTTTGAGTAGTTTTGATACAACCAAATCAAAGCGAAGATTTGAAATAGCTTTTCTGAAAGCCCAAGCCTAAGTCATAAATTATTCTACACCATGATTCGTTCAGATAGTAAAACCATACCTCTTTGCCTGACATTACTGAAATGTGGAAAAGGGAAAGTTAAAAATAAAATGAAACATTTAAATCTTTGCTGTTGAGAACTTCAGATAGATGGCAATATAGCAAAGTTGATAAAAGCGATTCTCAATTAGACTTTATTATTATTTTATTGAGGTATTATTAATAAACATCAGGGTGCAGCTGGTGATAACGCTCTCCTAGTATTAGACAGTGGACACAGAAGAAAAATAAAGGCAAGTTGTCTGTAATGAGAAAAAGTAGAAGGATGTGGATAAACTGCAAATGACATGAAAAGCAGAAATATATGATATTTGTCCTTCGAGCCTGATCCCGTGGCCTTCAACTGTACATTTAGATCTATTAACTTCTGCATAACCCGTTGGGAATAAGCTGTATTTATATGAGTCCAGACTGCATGTCTAGCTCTGAAGAGAACAGGTAGAAAATTTTGATGCTTTGATTTTGGGGGATTTTTTGTTTTGGGTGGGTTTTTTTGGGTAGTTGTTTGTTGGGCTTTTTTTTTATTTTACTTTCTTCCCTTTAGCCCAGTAGAGCCACACTATTCTATGTGTCTTCAATTACTTTGTACAGACCTCTTTTTCTCCTAAAAAAAATTAAAAGTCCTAATTCCAATACATTTCCTGAAGTTAACTATAAAAGATATTCACATACTAATTCAATAGCCTGATATTAGCTGTAATCCGTAATATTATCAGCACTACACTGGTAACAATTACAGTGGCAATGCATAACTGCAGTGTGTTTTGAGGGCAGTATTTTAATAAGGTAGGTGTTTAGTTCCCTGCAGCATATAAAACTGGTGATTTTGACTGCAGAGCTGCTTGGACTGGAAATCACAACAGTTGCCAGTAAGGTTTAGAAAGTGTGTGCCAGGCAAGGGAATCACTGTTCAATGTATTTACCCTCTGGGGAGGTAAAACACAGATGGGGGAGTTAGGAGTCTTCTAACATTTAGCTGATACATTAGTGGGTAGCAATTCTGCTTCAGGGATGTTCAAAGTAGTTCATCTACCAGTTGGGAATCATTATGGGCACTAGTACTGAGGATTAGATATGATAGAACAATAAGGGATTGTGAAAGTATCACTATCCTCCCTCCTTCCCACAGACAAATGTTTCATAGTCCTGGGTACCCTTTTACAGCTCTGTCTGTCTTTAGAATACAGTAGTTCTGGATTAATCTGATGTTTTCATCATACATACTAAGCACCTATCTTAAAGTAGGATTCAACTGTCATGGACAAATATGACCTGGTAATATGTATTTTGACCAAAATTATGTAAAATATCTTCTCTGCATAAAAAGTGGTACTGTTACTATGTATATTCTCACCAGTTAGTTGGAGTGAAAATAGCTTGCTAAAGCATTTGTATTTCAGTATTGGGTAAGCAAATGCAACATTAGCTCTCTGGGATTGTTTTTACACTGTGATATGCTAGGCTGTGCTTAAAACCTGTAAATTCATGATGGAGGGAGGGTGATCACACTTTAGGGAAAGGAAAAGCATGGTCAAAAATCAGGAGAAATCAACTCAGTGTCTGTTGAGCTATGCTTAGCTATTATCACCTGATTACTTTTACCCTAGCAATCTCACCTGATCATACGTTAATTTTTTCCTGTTTTTTTTCCTATTGTCTTGAAGTTAAAACATTTTCCAAAATGTACAAACAAACAACTAATTTCATTGCACTTCTGTCTGCACGCACTGAAATAAAATATGATTAGCTAGCTGAAAATGTGTAACTTTTCAATCAGTAGTTAATTCAGTCACAGAACTATATTCATATAGGTTTGAAACAAAATTGACCTTCTTGTTTATGCAATGTGTACATACAATAGGTGCCTGATTCAGTAACAAGCTACTCAACAATGTAGATTTTCTGAGACCCAGGAATAGAAGCAAAATCTAGTATTCTTCTGAATAGAGCCATCACCTGTGCACTGCTAATGCTCTGAGGTTTCTGCTTCTGGAAGGGAAAAAATCAGTACAGAGGACAAATTCCTCCCGTTCTACAGAAGACAAACTTCTCATGGTCCATTGTAGAGCAGCTGAATGGAGAGCAGCAGGAACAGGGAGGGGGGGAGGCCCCTTCTCACGGCTGTCTGGTGTCATTCCCCTTGGCTGCTGTTGTCATTTTGAGTGTAGGAAGTTTTCTGGCTTTACCCCAGAATGGACACTAGAAAATACATGTGGCAGTGGAACCTTTGGGCTCTGCCCCCACTGATGCACCGGAAATGTGTGCTGTGTGAGATTTCACTTTGCATGGTCGGGTACACCTTTTTCTTCTCTGCATTTCAGAGCTGTGGCTGAAGGTGACTCCTTATGGGTATTTCTCTCACTGACAGTGGCAGAAATGGAGTAGGGATTATCTTTAGTGCTCTTTAGAGCCCTGTCTGGAGGCCCAGTCAGGATAGTGCTGGATATGCACAGCTCTCACTGACAGCTGTGTGAGCTGAAGTTGTTCTGCACCTCATAGTGTGAAGAACCTCAGGATATGTGGAGGCTTTGGCTTTGCTCTGAAGTTTCTGAGGCTATTCTGTGGTATGTTGAATACTCACTTGTGTCTTCAAACTGGAAAGGTTTGATGACAGTGAAACAACTAGAAATCCATGGGTATTAATTCAACTCTGGATGGAATGTCCTTTTACCTGCATGTGTGTTTCATTTTGGTAAAACTTCAGACTTTCTGCTCCTAGTTTCAAAAAAAACCTTTTGTGTTTAACTTAGCATATATTTCTTAACTGTGTTGTAGGAAGCTGAATTTTGCTCTTCAGAAATGTCTCAAATTAGTGAAAATACCACTATTGTTTTCATTCAGTATTTACCAGCATGTTAGTAACTGTTAACATGCCATTAACAAATACACTGACTTGCACACCTGTGTTTTCATGGTATGTGTGTGGGGAGGAGAAGCAGTGGCTCACTGTTCCAAGGTATGAGCACTGTAAATCGGGAGAATGGTGTCTTGTTGACTCTGCACCCAGATGGAGATGGACTTGAAACAATAGTGCTGACAGAGGTGTGAATCCTCTCACCTCATCTTAATGGGGTGTTAAATTAAAAACTTAGTTATGACCATATAAACGTTGTTGTTAAGACAGTTGTCCACAGCACACAAACCTAACATGAGTCATTGAACACATACATTTTACAGTATATTAAAATATTTATATTGTTAATGTGTAATATAATAGAACCTACTGGATTTATTTCTAAAATTTGGAAATGCATTCTGTCTTTTAAATTACTACTTAAGTGTTTAGTTTATTGATGTGAAGTGTCATTTATAAATTCATAGCCGTCATATATTGCTTATTTGGATTGAGCTTGATTTCTGTTCTTCAGAAATGTATGTGAAGTACATTATAATTTTATTCTATTTTAAATAATCTGTTTTAAGAGTGTGTATATATCTTGCAATGTACTTCTGAACTGTATCTGAGCAGAATACCCCCAGGACCTTTGCGTGGTCTGGGAGTGGTAGGTTTTGCCCCATGTACCACACTAATTTTCTTAGGAGAATAAAGAGTTTATCACAAAAGGTAGACTTTTCTTAGAAAATAAATAATAATACAAAGAAGAAACTAAGGGGAAAAAAACCCCCCAAACCAAACAATCAGATACAACCTGCACTGGCAGGTCTGCTACATTTCTTTAAAAAGCTGCTGTACATGTGTGGTTGCTATGTAAGTATGCAACAAATGCTTTGCATCCCAGTTATGTGAGCCTCATTGCACGTGCTAGAGCTGTCTGTGTGTGTACAGTAAATCCAACATGTCTGGAATGCATCAGACTTGCTGGACATAAGTAGATCACCTGCTTGTGGGATTTGGAAATTCATAGATTGCTTCATTAGGTTTGGCAGGTTTGGGTCGTGTAACTAAGCAACCTATCATGAACTGCTAACTCTAAACCTGGTCATATTTCTCTTTCCTGAAGAGGAATAGTGGGATTTTTTTCATGCTTTTGTGTAGAAAGTTTCTCAGGTGGGGTGCAGTGACTTCTCACAGGAGTCTCTTGGGAGAATATCTTCCATGTCCAGACGATGTGCAGAAGATGTTAAGCAGAGAAGGTTTCCTCAAAATGGAGCTGGTGCATCTCTCTTCTACTGGGACTGATTTTTCAGAGCAGAGGAGTGTGACCTGGAGGGACAAATCATATATTTTTACACTGTTGGTCAGATTTCCCAGATCTGTCTACCACTTAAATTTGACTGTCAGTCCATCAGGAGCAGCCAAGGAAGAATCTTAGCTTTGCATTAGGACATCTCATGAAGTGGGTTATGAGGCATCTTTTCATGTCCCATCAGTCAGCACCTTTATGAGTTCAGGTGCAGTAAGTATTTACT